AAGCCCAATTGTTGGGTGAGAAATGGCTGATACTTCCACGTCGCTACTGGAAGACAGTCGGCGGCGGGCAACAGAACAGGGCGAACCTATATAGTAGACCGAGTTAGCCATCCATATGATGATACTAGCCAGATGAATGAAGCACCTTGACTCTGTCCTGTCGCCATTCGACTGTTTGCAGTAGTTTTGGGAGTACGCGGCGCCCGTTGAGTGAACAATGGCATGAGTTTGCCGACCTTACAGGCACCACAAACTGCAAAAAAAAATCATGGGCATTTAGTCAAATGATGTATTTGAACATTGCCTACCGCATTCATCAGGTCGTATAGATTTACTGAAACGGCCGTAGACCTTGGCGCATTGCTGGCATTCTGCGGATGATTTAGTTTAGCTGAAAGTGACCCATGGTAACGAATCAACGTACTCCATTCGTATGGATAAGTTATGTCGTAATTGTGCTTGGTCTATAAGTCATCAGTGGGGATTCGCCGCTTTCCAGTGGATGACGCTCACGGTGACCACAATGTCATTTCGCTTGCGTTCAACCTTCGCAGCCCTGTGCACCTTGATTGAGACGACCCGAAGGAATCAAGGAGACATTGCATACCATGCTTTGAATAGCCTACCATGACCCTCCTTCGGGTCCCCGTCGATGATCCAGCAAGCCAAATGACACATCTCATGAGCAAGTGTGTGGCGTATGCGTTCTGAAAGCAGCATGAGTGCGCTGGTTCCACCGGGTTTATATAGTTATATTACCGTCGCAGTCAAGAATCTTGGTGGCAAGCTCAATCTCTGTGGTATGAGCTCCGTCCCTTGATCTGAAGGCTTGGATGTGAGCGTTTATTGGAGCAGTTGTAAGATATACCCACCGATGCCATTTAGCTTTGCCCGCTGTAGAGAGAAGCCTGACGTTCCAGTTTAATTTAGTCTCATTGGGTAACTGATCCTTGAAAATGGTGCGATTGAGAGTTGAGAATAGCTCTGAGGCATATACTTCTCGTCGTGCCTGCTCTGCTGCATCTGTTTGCTTCTTGCTTGTCCGAGGTTTCTTCGACGAAGAGAGAGCAGGGGTGGAATGGGTCCCGGGCAGTTTACGTGAGCGAGGGGTGCGCAGGGATGAAATGCCAGCGGGTTCGTCACCAGAGTCTAAGGTCCATTGCACATCCCTCCTGGGTGTACCTGAGAGACGAGAATCTTCGGACGTTGCCGTGCCACTAGAAGGTTTAGCAGCACGCCGGATGGGCTTACGTGCGCTCCTTGGATCGTTCCTAGAAAAGCTCAAGTAACGCATCTTACGAATCAGGCCTATTTTCCACTCACAGTGTCAGAATAGAGCCATCATTGACGTTCCAAGGCTCGTCGTCTGTATCTGCATACAACGGTAGTATCGTATCCGGAACACTGCGACTTGGCTGCTGAAGCGTCGGTCTTGAAGGACCTGGAGCGAGTCTCTCTGGCGAGCTGTCCAAGTCAATGATTTCAGGACCCGGCCGACGCGCTGGAGCTTCGCTGTCAGATGCCTCCGAGCTGGAACTGTGGATGACTCGCCGAGAGCGAGGCGTCTGTAGTTTGCGGGATGGCCGGGCACTATTGGATGGGTTTGCAACTCTGTGATATTTCAGAAAGCGTTCCGTGGTCTAGGAGAGAAAGGGGCGCACCTCGTCTGCGGTGGCGCCGTCTTGTGGGGCGTGAGTGGCCAACCTCCAGGGATTCGGCCTGCAAGATCTTCGTCGCTGAGGCCAACAAACGCTACGTTGAGATATGGACGCCTGTACACTTTGAGAGTTACACACCTGTCATCGTCAGAGGATATCTCTATGACTTCTATATTTGACCTGGCAGGGCCCGGGCCCTTCCCTTTCGATATGCTGTCGACAATAGTCGGAACAGAAACTGCGTGAAGTCTGATACCACGTACCTATATCGTTCCTCCTCACTATCAGGGACCTCTGATTCATCGACACAACCGCGCCTGTGGTCGTCGCCAACATCCTTGATGAGTACAGCACGCTTCTGCGAGCCTGGGAGTGTTTGGTAGTCATCCGGCGATCGAGTGACACATTCAGAAGGAGTCGCGATGGATTTTGGTGACATACACTTCCCAGCACCACACTTGGGAAGCTTTGGAACAGAAACAGGCGAGATTGGGACAAAGAAAGTAAAATCAAAGTGGAGGCTCGGGCTGAACGCGTCGAAACAGGTCACGTTTCAGAGTCATAGGCGCGTGCACTGTATCATATGAGGTGGCGTGTCTCTTGATTTGCTGTACAACTTATTGAACATTCACTGTGGCAACAACGACATGATAGTACAACGAGCAAAACCTAACGAACAATACATTCACACTACAACTTGACTTTAACAAAGCAAAGAAAGCAACCTGGCCCACGAGATTCTGCATGGACGCCCTCATAAGTGTAATTCGGATGGCACATTCAAGAGCAAGCCCGCTTACTCAACGCTTACTTAGTAGCACATCAAACACCATAGTACACAAACGGCGCCCACCTTTCCACCATCACGTTTGGATCTTTTCGAAGTTGCCATACAACGTGATTCAAGGCGGCAGCTCCTTTGGTGTAATAGATGTTGTCCACGCCGTTTCGCAGAAGGTATGCATTTGTGTGATTGGCAATGACGGGGGCATCTTCGTCCTGAATGCTCCACATGGTGGCGATGAAGCTAGAAAATCCGGCGAACTGCATTCCTACGGAAATATGTATGGCTTCTCCGGGAGAGCCCTGTAGCCCAGATGCCAACTGGTACGTTGAAAGGAATGCAAACCAAGCGAAAGCGAGTCGCTTGGACGCGATCAAGGATAGCTTTAGCCTTCCATCGTGCAGCGCGAATGCGCTCCCCATTCCGCCCCTTGTATCCTGCATTGCATGACAGGCACCCAAGAGCACGTGTCCAGCGCGGTGGAAACTTCATCGACAGTGGCTTGGATACGGTCAAAGCGCTGTAATTCCCCTTTTGGCCAACCCGCTGCCGAAACTGTTTGCATAACAATGTCGACTTCGTCTATGGCATGGGGAATGCGCGATTGTCCTGGAGTGTTGGGTTGGCTGATCGCAAGCAGCATCGGAGGTCCACTGATGGCCGAACTCTGTCATTTCTGTGCTCCAGCTCAGGGTTGTGACATAGGGGGACACGACGAGCTGGTTGACAGGCCCGGCGGCGTGAATCGCGGTGAACGTGAGTGAACCGGTTAGATACCAGAAAATTTGATTGGTAGGAACTTCGTCCTTTATACGCTGGAGTGGAATTCCGAGCCCGGTTGCAGCGAATATTGGTTTCACTTTCAGATGTTATCCCAGACCACAGGCAGTGTCCGGGAGCTCTGATGATCTTCCGTGACATCAGCTCTGGCTTGCTTCTGCGCTATGCCATCGGGTGGTGGTGACGTCCGATTTCTGCCGGGGCGTCCTGTGCAGGGAGCGGGAAATCGGTTTGAAAATGTCGGTGCCATCCCACCCATCCTAGACCTTAGGCAACATTATGAAGCGCTGCATATCTTCGAGCTGCCGATGAGCTCATCACGGCCATTTATGCAATTGTGCACTTAGATTTCGAGGGATGACGATCCAGGGAGACCCACAAGAAAAGCTTGTTACTCCACGCAGTAGTACTTCCGTCTATCGGTCCAGCACCATACTCCTTGCCACGAAGAAGGATATTGACAGAGAGCGCCTGGCTGATCGATGCTTCCAACTGCGTCGGAAGGTGATCGCACTTGATATCTTCGCGATTGTAAAATCCTTGTTCCAAATCACAAGTGTGCCGTACCCTGGATTTTGAACGCTATGCTTTGCTACATCTCAATGCATGATATTTAGATAAGGAAAGGCATGGCAATGAAGACGAACTGAGTTTACGATCGCGCGATGGTGGGCCGATAGTAGCAAGGAGGATAGGCGCCTAAGCCTAAGCCTCGGGTGCACTCGATGCCACTAGCGCTCAGATCATCACATGCAACCTAATCCCTGAGCCTGGCTCCTACTCTCCGGCATACAGGGAAGTCGAGCCGCTGAAAGCGCTGTCACCAAGGTTCGAGAGACGAGTCGTCTCTCAAACCTCGGTAACAACGTTACTTTTTCTGCGTAGCCCTCCAGGGTGAGTGTAACGGGTTCGGAAGTCCCCAGTCGATATCGCAGTAATTTGAGTTGTCGACAGTGCAATGAGAGGCTGATTGGAAAATGGAGTTGTGTCAGCACTATGTTGCCAGTCAAGAGGCGAGGGTCTCCGCATCAGGCAGTGAGACTAGTACTCACGCCACAACCACGAAACTGAAGCTCCGCCGTGCCACTGCCACTAAGTATCATACCAGATACCGGCGAATACTGGGGCGTCGGAAAAATAAACCGAGCCTCCCCACCACCATCACTACTCAGACCATGCCACCAATAGGCTTCATAAACATACCGTAGATTTCAATATCCTCGTCATAGAAATTGCATAGAAACCTAAATTAATGGAAATCACAGAAAATCCAATAAAAATAGGAAGGTATTGCTGCAGACTGCTATCAGTGCGGGAACTACCTCCTATCAACAAAGGGGGCTCACTATCACACTTATTAATAACGAGGGGAGTGTGTTTCGGCAACAAAGTATATATAAGGTCTGCCAGCCATTATGCGCCACCGTGGATCGTGTTGTCGTAAGATAGCCACTACAGTAACAATGGCTTGCATCCTAGACGTCGTCGAGTGCCTTCGCATCCCAATCTGCCCATCTAAATCGTCATACTCCCTTCACCCGCCCGCACCCACGACGTCGATCCCCGGGTTTAGCATTGAATTTAGACTGTAGTGGCAGTGATCGGCGTGCGTACGTTGCTGATCGGTCCTGGCTCGAATATATCTGAAGGTGATCGAAAGAAATCGATGCTGAATATGTATACTGACATTTGAGGATGAAATATTAATATTGAAGCTAGTGCCGTCGAATGCTGCTGGGGGTACACCCTTTGGTGTATCATGAAGAGTGAGTTGCACAGCCCGCCTAGCTCAATCGGATAGAGCGTCAGACTCTTAGGCGGGTTACTCATTCCCTCGGGATGATCTGAAGGCTGCGAGTTCGACCCTCGCGGTGGGCTACGATACTTTTTGCCGTCCGGAAGGGCGGAAGATTGGCGAGACGTTCAGGAGGACGTCGAGAAAGAAAAAATTGACTACACAGCCACATGGATTTCCTTTTTTGGAGGTGCAAGTTCCAACCGCTCGTGACAATGTCAGAGAGTAAATGCATTGGTTTAAGAAGAGCCATCACAAGGGTAATGTACGAGGGGTACAGAGGACAGGAAATAGAGGTAGAGAATTTAGCGGAATACAGCACAAGTCGGGCTCGAGTTAGGCTGAAAGGAGAAAGGGGCCCGGCAAGGAAGTTGGCACTCGACATTGCACCAATTCGGGGTGTGCTTTTGGAGTGGGCGAGAGTTGGATTGCTGTTGGATCATCGAGTCGTAACTTTGTTTCTCGAGAACGGCGCATCAGATAACCAGACTGACACCACGACCACGAAACTAAGCTCAGCTTCGTGGCTGTGGCACTGGGCTATTTCGTGGAGTGGTCACAGCCAACTGGTTACTTGAACGTTTATAAATTTAATGGTCTCTAGCAAGCACAGGCAAATATAGGTGATTTCAATGTTCTCCTCATGGAAAATCGAAATAAATTCGCAGAAAAGCGGAAAATAGCACCATGGACGTCCGGTGCACGAGAGCAAAAATGCCCGCCTAGCTCAATCGGTAGAGCGTCAGACTCTTAGGCGGGTTACTTCCCTCGGGATAATCTGAAGGCTGCGAGTTCGACCCTCGCGGTGGGCTACGATACTTTTTGCCGTCCGGAAGAGCGGAAGAGTGCTTGGCAAGACGTTCAGGAGGACATGAAGATTTTCTTTTTCTTAGCCGGCACAGCCACGTGGATTTCCTTTTTTGGAGGTGCAAGTTCCAATCCGCTTGGAGCGAGTCTTGAGAGCAAATGCATTAATTGGTTTGGTGAGAGGCCAGCATAGTGGTAGCGTACGAAGGGCCCATAGGAGACGGGACATTGGAGCAGAGTTAGCGGAATCTAGCACAAGTCGGGCTCGAGTCAGGATGAAAGGGGAAAAGAAGTCGGTACTCGACATCGCACCACTTCGGGGTGTGTGGTTGGAGTTGTCGAGAGTTGGGTTTTCAGGCTGGGGGGTAATCAATTGGCGACCGTACTTCGTGTCAGATAACGAAAGAGCTCGCGCCACAACCGCGAAAGTGATGCTTTTGCGGCTGTGGCGCTGGACTCCGGAGTGTTTATAGCCAACTGGTAGTTACTTGACCTTGTGATGAACCCTAGTGAGCTCTAGAGTCTACGGGCAGTCTCTGGGCAAATACAGGTGATTTCAGTGTTCCCCTCGTGGAAAATAGCAGTATGGATGTCCTCTGCACGCGAGCAAACATGCCCGCCTAGCTCAATCGGTAGAGCGTCAGACTCTTAGGCGGGTTACTGATTCCCTCGGGATCATCTGAAGGCTGCGAGTTCGACCCTCGCGGTGGGCTACGACACTTTTTGCCGCCCGGAAGGGCGGAAGGGTGTTTGGCGAGACGTTCAGGAGGAGACGAGAAATTTTTCGAGTGGCACAGCCACATGTTTCGATTCCTTTTGGGGTGGGAGTTCAAATTCGCTCTTTGCCGACAACAAAATGTGAAGGAGCCGAAATGTGCCATCCGCAGACTGAGAGTGCAAGGTCATCCTCGACTCCTTGTGCGGGCGGTGAGTGTTCGCAAAGACGGTTCGAGTTATCTAAACACATGATAGTCCGCTTCGACAAGTTCTTATCGCGGCGGACAACCAACAGCGAGCCAGCTTCCAGATCCAACGATAACGTGTGTACTCCGATTACTCTGCCCCGCCCTGCTCCGCCGCACTCGCCCGCACCACCGCCACTTCACTCTGGCTTCGGCCCTCTGCTCGAAGACAAGTGCTTCGTGGTTGAACGACCCCATAGATTTGTAAAACAAATTCTGGACATCCCTCAACCACGGATAGCCTTTTTGCCTTCCGTCGTCATCACCAATGGTGCCGACACACCCAAATCTCCGAAGCCCGAAGTTGGCCCGATCGACTTCGAGCGCACCATCACTCTGGACAGATATCTCCCGCTGCGCACCTATCGAGCATCGTGTATTCTACGCCCCAAGGTGCCGGCTTGGCAGGCGAACGTGTTCACTCACTCGATCGGGAAGGCCTGGGGAGAGTAGGGCCATCTCCAAGAAAACCAAGAGCTAAGAGGGAGCGGCAAGGCTGGACTCTGTGCCAAGCCGCCGGCCGGGGAGCTGCCTGCCTCTTGCGTCTGTGCCGGCCGCGGCCGGAGCGTAGGCAAAGTTGCCAAGAGCTGGTTGGCTTAATAGCCTATAAGGCAGTTCGATTAGACAGCCGGTTTAAGTTTCGTTGAAGGTTAATTGAGGGGGAAGGTTAATTGAGGGGGAATGTGGAGATTGTGATGGTGCTGAGCTGCGGCCAGCCATGCTCTAGCGCGATTGGATGGTATCACGGTCTTTCCGTGGCAAGGACCGGTGCCGCAGCAGCTTCGTGTTCCTTTGCGGCCCTGGAATGCATTAATATTGCGGGGCGATGCTTGCAGCTTGGCCGTCGCGAATCCAGCTCGGCGGCCTGCTCCACTGATCGCCGAAGATGCCCCTGCTGCGGGCGTTCGTGTATCGTTATCGTGGCCCCCGATACCGAGAGCATGAGCATGATCATGCTTACATTAAGTATAGCTTTCAGTACATCGCCACGTTCCGAGGTGCGGTGCACCATGTCAGCGGCCTGGTTTGATGAAAAATTTCAATATTGATTAGAATGGACTGCGCAAGCAAAGCATTACGGAAGAATACTCGCGACGCAAATCCTGCGGAGGACGATTCTCTTCATAAACCCGAAGAAGAGTATGACTGTCACGATGATTTAACTTGGCCGTTCTAGATGATCGATGGATCCCGCCTAGATCTTTAGTGCGCCCATAGCCAGAGGGCTGTGTGAAGAAACAACACAGAGATGTGCCCTGCACTATGGTTGTCGGTTTTCAGCACGGCGCACACATAGTAGTTGCGGATTGGCCCAAGAATGTCGTTGGACGTCGTGGCGGAAGCCTAAATTAGCACAATGAGTAGCAATCCAAAAAAGGCAACTCCATTGGCGCTCACGTGCAATCAGGCCTTTTGTGCTTTGTATTCTTGGTTGCCTTTATAACTCTGCTCTCTGCTGTCGATTATCTCTCTGTTTCCTCCCATTTTTCTTCACGTCGCACCGAGTTGAACCCGGCCGCTGACTGTGCCCCGCGTGCTCCCGGACGCTTCTTGCCCGCCACGTGTTTTGATCTATTTCCGTCTAAGAGCATATAAGACCGCCGCGACCATCTGCCCCCGGATACCCGTCCTCCCCGTATCGAGTCCCTTTTCATTTCAGACTCTTACAAAGGTACGCTATCCGCACTAGTGCTCTTATATCTCTCGCTCACGTTCCTTGCTGTAGTCAATCGACTTGATTGCTTTACTTTCACCTCGGTTGATCCTTGGTGTTCTCTGCCAGCGTCCAGCGGACTCCCCTTCATAAACATTATTCAGATCACCCTATCGCCATGTACCTGCACATCCCCCTGCTTCTCGTGCTCTGCGCACAAACCATCCCCGTGTCCGCGGCCAACCCCTACACATACCCCGGCTCGCACGCGCTCAAGCGCTTCCACAACGCCGCGCTCAAGCACAGCGCAGGCCTCGCGCGCGATCTACGCGTCGCATTCAACGGCATCCTCGCGCCGCCCCCGCACGAGCAGAAGGCCATCCAGAAACGCGACATGTTCTGCGAGGCGACCAACGGCCAGGTTCCCTTTGCGGTGAACAGCTCGTCGCCGTCGACCAGCAGCATTTCTTCGACCTCGGCAAAGACGTCTGGAAGCGCACAGCCTACGAGTGCGATTCCCACCAGCGCCGGTGGGAGCAGCACCAGCACGCCCAGCAGCTCCGCCAGCGGGGCTGCACCCACTTCGACTTCTGCATGGAAGCTCGCCGAGTCTCATGTAAGTGTGTGCGCAATGTGACGTGGGCGCACCCTGACAACTCTTGTTTGCAGCAAGGCGCTAATTTCTTCACTGGATGGAGCTTCTTCACCGGCGCCGATCCCACCGCTGGTGTCGTTACCTACATCGACCAGCCCACCGCCGTACGTCCTTGTATTCGGAGATTCCCACATCTCACGCTGACACTTTTTGCTGCAGCAATCCGCAAACCTGGTAGAGGTCAACTCGGCAGGCAACGCGGTGATGCGCGTGGAGACGACCCCGCAGGTGAGCTCGACGCGCCAGAGCATCCGCATCACGACGCAAAGCACCTGGAACCAAGGCCTCTTCCTCATGGACTCCGTGCACATTCCGACGGGCTGCGCGACCTGGCCTGCCTGTGCGTTCTCCCCCTTCCCTTTCCATTTCTCCCCGTTCTCCCCGTTCTAATATCCGTTTGCATTCGCAGTCTGGACCAACGGCCCGAACTGGCCCGCAGGCGGCGAGATCGACATCGTCGAGGGGATCAACAACTACACCAACAACCAGGCGACGATCCACACGAACCCCGGCTGCACGCTCGCCTCCGCGTCCGCGGACGTGCTCGGCATCACGGGCACGGTCGTGGGCGGGACGAACTGCGCGGCGGCGGAGAGCGGGAACCAGGGCTGCGGGATGCGCAGCCCGCAGGGCAACTCGTTCGGCGCGCCGTTCAACGCGAACGGCGGCGGCGTGTACGCGATGCTGTGGGACGGCGCGGGCATCTCGATATTCTTCTTCGCGCGGGGGAGCGTGCCCGCGGACATCGACACGGGCGCACCGGACCCGACGGGGTGGGGCGCGCCGATGGCGAACTGGCCCGCGGACAACTGCAACCCGTCGACGTTCTTCTACGACCACTCTGCGATCTTTGACACGACTCTCTGGTGCGTTTCCACCTGTGCGATTGCGCTGCGCTGCGGGCTAATGTGATTTTGTTGTGCAGCGGTGACTGGGCGGGGAGCGGCTGGACAACGACGGGGTTGCCTGGGCAGAGCACCAGCTGTGCCGCGGAGACGGGGTACC